AATACATGTCCACCCGTCAATTATTTGTAAGGGAGCGACAGTAGAAAAAAACTGATACTGTTTGGAAATAATAAACCCAACGATTCTGGACATAGCTTCCAGCAATGACCTCGCAAAACAGAGAGAATACGAAACAGCAATATAATATACGATTTTGTACTGCGAATGACTTGCAAAGCTGTCGGACACTTCGGCAGTAATTAGGAATATAACATGCGAATTGCTAGACTAAATAATTTCAAGATCCGTCCACCTTAACCTGCACCTTCCTGGCAGTCGATGGACATGTCATTTCCCAAACAGCGTACTGTGTTCCAAGAAATTAATCTGTTCAAACCTGATGGAATGTTTTGATGAAGCTACAGATAGCGCGAATGAAGGTAGTGCAGTTGATATTATTTATTTGGATTTTCAAAAGGTGTTTCATAAATTCCCACATAAGAGACATGTACGATAGAAACAAACACACGGAAATAAAGGGACAGTGACAGAATGTACACAGAACTGGCTGGGAGACACAAGGCAGAGGGCAGGGCTCAATGGTTGCTTTGTTGACTGGAGGGAAGTAATTCCCAGCAAAAACAACAACAACAAGTTTCCATTTATGGAGCGCCTTTCACGTCGGGAGGACGTACGAAGGCGCTGGACAGTCGGGTCAGGACCCAAGCAGGGAAGAAATGGTCAGGATGAGGGGAAGGAAGGGAGGGTGTGAGGAGGGGGTAGAGAGTCGAGAGGGGAGCTGAAAGCAAAGTCAAAGAGAAAGGTCGGGGGACCGGCCTTGAAGGAGGAAGTGGAGGAGACAAGGCGAAGGTACTGGAGGATGGATTTCTAGAGCCTAGGGTCTGAGAGCCTGAAGGCACGGCCACAGATGGTAGGGCGTTCGGTGAGGGGGAGGTGTAGCATACCGCAGCCACAGGAACGGAGGGTACGGGCAGGTAGATAGGGGGATAGTAGGTCGGAGAGGTAAGAGGGAGCAAGTCCGTGAATGGCCTTGTAGCTGAGGATGAGGATCTTGAATTCGATCCTCTAGAGGATGGGAAGCCAGCGAAGGCGAGCGAGGGTGTGGGTGATGTGGTCAGGAAACCTTGTGCGTGACCGTACCCGAGCTGCAGTGTTCTGAATTAGCTGCAGATTGTGGAGGGAGATGCCGGGAAGGCCGGAGAGGAGAGAGTTCCCATAGTCCAGCCTTGAAGTGATAAAGGCGTGGACCAGAGTTTCAGCAGCGTGAGGGGTGAGGTTGTGCCATAGATTGGCAACATTCCGGAGGTGATGGAAAGCGGTGCCAGTTGTGGCGCGGATATGAGGGAGAAAGGACAGCTCAGGGTCCAACAGAACCCCGAGGTTCCTGATGGCTTTGAGAGGGGGAGAGTGCGGCCTTGGATGCTGATGCTGTCAGCGCCTGAGGTGCGGAGGTGTTGACGTGAGCCAATCAGGAGTGCTTCAGTTTTGCGAACGTTGAGCTGAAAAAAGTTATCTCTCGTCCAGGACTCGATGTCGGAAAGACAGCTTTCAGGACATCGGTGGTCGTGGAGTTGAGGGTAGAGGAGGAAAGGTAGAGTTGGGTGTAATCCGCATACATGTGGAAGTTAACCCCATGTCTGCGGATGATGTCACCAAGGTGTAGTATATATAGGGTGAAGAGGAGGGGACCGAGGACAGAGCCCTGAGGGACACCGCACGAGAGAATGCGGTGGCTGGACGAAAATCCATTCGTGGAAACAAAGTGAAGACGGTGGATGAGGTACCACCTAAACCACTCAAGGACATGTCTTTGAAGGTTTAGGTTGGAGTAGAAGCGGTGGAGGAGGATAGCATGGTCGACCGTATCGAATGCTGCCGATAGGTCGAGGAGGACGAGGAGTCAGAGAGAGCCCTGGTCACAGATGATCAGGATGTCATTAGTGACCTTGACCAGGGCAGTTTCTGTGCTATGGGCAGCACGGAAACCCGACTAAAGGGGTTCGAATAATGAATGGGTGGAGAGGAATGTGCGGAGCTGAGAGGCGACAACTCGTTCCAGGAACTTGGACAAGAAGGGAAGGTTGGATATGGCCCGGTAGCTTGATAGCTGCGACGCATCAAGGGAGGGTTTTTTCAAGTTGGGAGTAATGGTGGCAGTTTTTAAGGGAATGGGAACAGAGCAAGAGGAAAGGGACAGGTTGACGATGTCTGTGATATGTCAGGCAAGGAGGTGGAGCTGGGAGATAAGGATTGGAGATGGGGTCAAGGGAGCAAGTGGTCGTTTTCAGGGAGAGGATGAATTTGGTGACAGAGGGTGGGGAAACGGGTACGAAAGTGTGTGGGGGAGGATGGGTAGGAGTCGGAGTGTGGGAGTCAGGGCGTAAGGGCGTGTGTGGATGTTGGAGGGGAAGTGACTGCGGTGCGAATTGCCTTGATATTGAATTTAAGGAAATCCGGCATCTCCACAGAGTGAATGTTGGAGGAGATGACCGGCGCGGGGTGGCGGGGGGGACGGAGGAGGGGGATGTCGTAGAAAACAGTAGCCTGGGGTTGTTATTCGCCTCCAGGATAATCCTGGAGTAGAAAGACGACTTTGCCGAGGCTGGAGTGGAGCGGTAGATTTTGAGGAGGTCCAGCCAGATTAGTCGGTGGATCGTTAGGCCAGATTTGACGCAGGTGCTTTCATTGGCCCGCACCTGGCTCTTCACTGAGCGGAGGTTGGTGGTGAACCAGGGGGAGGAGCGAGAGAAGGAGACAGTACGGGAGGTGATGGGGGCACGAGTATCGAGTGTGGAGGAGAGGGTGTTGTGGAGGAGGGTGAGAGTAGAAGAGGGGTCAGTGAGTTGTAAAGTGCCTCCAATGTTGAGGGTTGCGCTCGATGTGTGTAGGTGCGAGAGAGCGAAATGCTGCAATGTGCCGCCATTCGTGGAGTCCTGTATCTCAGTGGTTAAAGCACTCTCTTTGCAAGTGAGAGACCTGAGTTCAATTCCAGGCAGAGGGCGAAATCTTGGGCAAGTTTCCTTACTCCACACTGAGCCTAATAATAATCCTCCAATACCAAACACAATAACAAATTGCTCATTTTTAATTCACGACTGTTTGTGGGACATTGCTGTGCGGAATTGGCTGCCGCGTTCGCCCACAAATATAGTCAATTCACTTTACAGTGTGTTCTGTGAAACGCTTTGGACGTACTCCCGACGTGAAAGGCGCTATATCAAATGCAAGGATTATTATTATTATTATTATTATTACTGAAAATGGCGCTATGCGCGTTTGTGTCGATTTGTGAGTGAGGCTCTAATTGATCCCACTGCTGAACCTATCGCTTTGTGCGAGAGAATGATGCTGTAAAGTGCCCCCAGTCTGAGGGTGGCGCTGTACGTGTGTGTATGTGTGAATGTATGCATGTTATGTATGTGTGTGTGTGTGTGTGTATGTATGTCTGTATGCATGCATATATGTATGTTTGTATGTGTGCGTATGTATGTGTGTTTGTGTATGTGTGTGTATGTATGTGTGTAAGCATTCATATATGTATGTATTTATGTATGTATACATAAATGTGTGTGTATGTATGTGTGTGTGAGAGAGTAAGAGTCTGCAATGTGCCCACAATGCTTGGGGCGGCGCAGTGTGTGTGTGAAATAGAGCGAAAGAGGGCGTTGATATATCCCCAGCTTTGAGGTGGCTCTGTGTGTTTCTTTCCGTGTGTGAGAGAGAGAGGATATAGTGTGCCCATAGCGCTCAGTGTGGCGCTGTGTGTATGTGTCAAGCTGGCATATGCCCCCAGTGCTGAGGCTTCCCTTTGTGTGATAGAGAAAATAATGTCAACCCAGTGCTGAGTATGTCGTTATGAGACTGTGTGTGTGATTGTGTGAGAGAGACTGCAGTGTGTCCCCAGTGCTGAGGATAGCGCTATGTGTGTGTCACGCTGTAATGTGCCCCAGTGCTGCGAATGGCACTGTGTTTACTGAGTGTGTTTGAGAGAGAGAAATATACAGTCAATTCACTTAACAGTGTGTCCTTTCAAGCGCTTTGGGACGTCCTCCCGACGTGAAAAGCGATATATTAAATACAAGGATTATTATTATTATTATAAATAGAGAGAGAGAGAGCGACAGTGTGTGTAATGTGTCGCCAATGATAAGTTTGGCGCTGTATATGGGAGCCTGTGTGTGTTTGTGAGAGACGATCTGATGTGCAACTCCTGCTGAGGGCGGCCCTGTGTGTTTTTGTGTTTGTGTGTGTGTGAATCTGTTATGTGCCCCCAGTGCTGAGAATGGCTCTATGTGTGTGCGGGAGAGAGGAAGACAGAGAGCGAATGTACTGTGCCGCCAGTGCTAACGGTGGTGATGTGTATCTATGTCGGAGTGTATGTGTGAAAGAGGCTTCATGTGTGTGAGAGAGAGATTCTAATGTGCCCCGAGTGCTGAGCAGAGCGCTTCATGTGCATATGTGTGTGTGTGAAGTTGTAATAAACCCGCAGAGCTGAGGTTGGCGCTGGTCTTGTTTGTAAATATATGAGAGAGGCTGTAAAGTGCCACCAGTGCTGAATGTGACGCTGTGTGTTTTTGTGAGTGTGTGAGAGAGAGAGACAGAGAGATTGAATGAAGTGAGAGATAGCGAGAGAGGGGGGGGGGGGGTTGTAATGTGTCCACAGTGTGGTCCTGTGTGCCACTGTATGTGTGAGAGGCTTGTTGTGATTTCTCATCCTCAATGTTAACGTGGTCCAGTTTATTTTAGAACGGTTTATCTTATGGGCTCCCGGTTTGATTAACATGTCACAATGACTCGGGATACAATGAATCCTGTGGCAAATATTGGGACTCAGGGATGCTCGTCATAGTTTACTACTTCTTAGTTTAAAATGACAGTATTATCACTAAGCATTGTTCAGTAAAAAAAAGCGATTGGTTTTAGTCGATAAAAAAGCCATAGGTAGTTACGTTCTATACAATCGTTTTAGTATTACATAGATGATTCTTTGGTAACATACAACTCACACGAGTATTAAGAATACCACAACACAATAATCATGACAGTATACGCTTTTATTTAATGAAGCGTGTACATCAAATTCACTTGATTTATATTGTTCGGATATGGTTTCATTAATAGATATCAGGAAATGCATTGTCATTCGATGCTCAATTAAAATGCAATATCACAATGGATGATACGCTAAATCAGATGTGAAAGCGCTCTGAGACGCCGTGCGGCGAGGAGGGCGCTATATATATCCACGTTGTTGTTGTTGTTGAATGATCCAAGGGTATCCAATGGAAATATATTACCCGGTTAGTGGTGATGGGCTGATAGTGCTTCTCTCTCTCTTCCTTCTACTCTCTCTCGCTCAGTAGCGACTCCTCGTCTGGGCAGTTATCATCTCACACGACTCTTCCATTTGTCTCTCCTCAACTCTGGTATCGACGGTACCACGACGGATAGATTCTATAGCATCAGTTGCCGGACGATCTGCTCTGCCTGTTGCCCCTCTGCTTTTGGGTCGCTAATAGGGTATGTGGGATATTCAGTGGGTTTGTGTGATGCTACTTGAGTTGGTCGGGTATAAACGTCATGTGTGACTTATTGATGCAGTGTCTGGTATCAATGTGAGTGAAGTATTAATGGAGTGTGTCGTATTAATGGATTTTTAGGATTCTAATTGTATGTGTGAGGTTTAAAAGGGTGTGTGGGATATTATTCTGGGGTTAATGGTGTGTCGCGTGTTAACGTTGTTTGTGGTATGAGTGGGGTGTATGGTAATAATGTAGCTTGTTGAATTAATTCAGCATGTAGTATCAATGGTTTGTCTGGTATCAACGGGGATTTTGGGGTACTAATGCGGTATGTGTGGTACTTTTCGGGGAGTGGCCTATGTGGGTATCAATAGGCTCTGGTATATTAATGGCGTGTGGGTTATTAATTGTTTGATTGTTACGAATCGAATTGCGGGGAATTAATGTGGTAAACATCAGGTGCAGATTACTTATGTGGTGTGGGTTATTCATGGGGTGCGAGTACTAATGGCGTGGTTGGTGTCAATGGAGTGTGTCGTATTAATTGGGCGTGTGTTTTTAATGGGCTCTGTGGTATTAAAGAAATGTGTCTTATAAATCGGGTTTGCGGTAATAATGGGTAGTGTGGGGAAGTATTTTGGTTTGTGTGTGGTTTTGATGGGGTGCATTTGGGTACTAATGTTGTGTATGAGGTGTTTGTTGTGTGGGTTATTAATGGGGTGCGGTGTATTAATGAGGTGTAGCTTATTAACGGATGGTGAAGCATTGATTGAGTGTGTGATATTAAAGTAGTCCGTGGTAACAATGTGGTACGTGGTATCAATGGGGTGTTTGGGATCTCAGTGGGGTGTGGGGGTATTAATGAGGTGACTGGCATATTAATGGGGTTTTGCGGTATTAATGGCGTTTCTGGATTATTATTCCTGAGCGTCGTATAAGTGGTGTGTGGGATATTAATGGAGTTGTGGCAATAATACAACAACAACAAGATTCCATTTATAGAGCTCCTTTCACGTCAGGAGGACGTCCCTGTAGTGTTAATTGAGCATCTGGGTTGCTAATGCGGTGTGCGGCCTATTAATTAGGTGTATTGGACAATACACCGGTGTGGGGTTTGAATGTTTTAAGGACTTTTAATGGGGTGGAGATAATTAATAGGATGGGGTTTAGTAATGGACTGTGTGGTTTTAAATTGTGGCGTATTAATGGAGTCTATTGTTTTTTTAACGTTTGTGGTTGGTACCAATGGGATCTGTGATATTAATGTGTTGTGGGAATGAATTGGGTGTGTGGAATATTGATGGATTGTGTTTTAAAAAGGGTTTTCGTGTATTAATGTGGTATGGGGTACCAATGTGTTTCGGGGTATTAACGGGGTAATTGTTCAGTGTTAAAAAGATGTATTGAACGAGTGTGTTGCAATAATGATTTGTGGGGTATTAGTGGGTAGTGGGGTATTAATTGGTTGTGGTTTATTAATGGGATGTATGGTGTTATTGTGCATTTTTGTATTAATGGTTTGTGTGGTATTGATTGTGTATTTGGTATTAATGGTGGTTAGGATTTTAACGGGGTTTGTTGTTTTAATGCGGTGTGTGGTGTTAATGAATGTGTCGTAGTAATGGGGTTTTAACGGAGTTTGTGTTGTACTAGTGGGGCGTATGGGGTTTCACTGGTGTATGGGTGTTATTTCTTTATGGGCTATTGATAGGGTGAGATGAATTAATGGCATGTGGTGTACTAAATGTATGCTTTTTATTGAAATCGTATGGGCTATTTATGGGTTGTGCTGGGTATTAATGTGGTCTGGATGTTTATGTGATATGGGTAGGCAATGGAATTTGACGTATTAGTTGTTTGTGTAAGATATTAGTGGAGCGTGCCGAGTAATAATGGGCTGCGTGGGATACTAATGGGACATAATGGGATGTTAATGGTACATGGGCGATTAATGAGTTGTTTGGTAATAGTAGAGGGATATTAATGGTTTGGTGCGCTTTGTTAATGGACTGTGTGGTAATAAATGTTGTGGTGTATTAATGAGCTTTGTTGTGTATTAATGGGTTGTGTGTGGTATCAATATAATATGGATTATTAATGAGGTGTGTTGTTTATTATCGGTGTGTTCTGGAGTTTGTGGAATATTATTGAGGTTTATGCAGCATTAGTGGGCTGATTTGCGTTTTAATAGGGTATGGTTTTGCAGTGCGGTGTAGGTATCAATGGGAAGTGAGGTATCAATGGGATATTATTGGAGAGTGGAATTAATGGGATGTTTAGCATTAATAAGTTGGATGGTATTAATGGGGTGTATACCATTAATGGAGGGTGTGTTATATTCTTGGATGTGGTATTAATGGGCTGTATGGTGCTAGTGGGTTGTTTGAGGTATTAACCTGGTGTGTGGGCCATTATTGGGGTTTGTGGGGAACTAATAGAACTTCATGGGGTTTTAATGGTTTATGGAGTATTAATTGGGTGTGCGATATTAATGGGAAGTGGCGTGTTAATGGGTATTTATTTTAATACAATTTTAATAATGGGCTGTTGGTTATTAACGAAATGTGGGACATTAATATTGTGTGGGAAATCAATGGAGATTGGGGTACTAATGTGTATAGGGTTAGGTGATGAAGGGGTGTGTGGTATTAACGGGTTGTGGGGTATTAATGGGGCGTGGTGTGTCAATGTTTCGTGGTCTATTCATGAGAATTGGCGTATTAGTGGCGTATGGAATTGAGTGGAGTTTTAATAATGGGCTTTGTGGTCCTAATGGGACGCGTAATGTTAACAGAGTCTGCGGTATCAATGGGGTGAATGTTAGCAATTTTTGCATGTACTAATAATGGGGTGTGTGGTATTAATACGATGCTTCGGATTTCAATAATTTTTGTGGGTTATTAATGGGATCTGTGTGTAATAATGGAGTGTATGTTTTTCAATGTGGTGTATGGTATTAATATTATGGGGTACTTATCTGCTATATAGTGTTAATGCGGTGTGTTGTATGAATGGGATGTGTGCTATCGATGGGGTGTGTGTTGTCAATTGGCTGTTTGGTTGTAATTTTTGTGTGTGGTAATAATGGGATGTGTGGTGTTAATGTGGTGTTTGGGATTTTATTGGAGTATGCGGGTTGGATCTGTGTGTACTTTTGGGGTGTATGGGTATTAATGTGCTGTGTGATATCAGTAATGTATGGATTATTTATCTGCTGTACGGTGTTAACGCTGCGTGTGGCATTAATGGGATGTGTGGGTTATTGCTGGGGTGTGTGGGGTATTCACGGTGTGTATGGTGTAGCAATCCGTTTTGTTTGGTATTAATTCGTTGTGGAGTATTAATGGGATGTGGGTTATTAATTATGCATGGAGCACTAATGGGATATACGGAATTAATGTAGTGCGTGTTAATAAAGTGCTGTAGGGTATTAGTGCTTTGTGGTATTAATGGGGTGTTTAGGATATTAATGTCTTGTGGGCTATTAATGGGTTGTGTATGGTATTAGTGGGTTGTATGGGGTATTAATCGCGTTTGCAGTATAAACGGGATGTGGGTATTAATGGTGTGTGGCTTATTGACGGGATGTAGTGTATTACTGAGGTGTGTATGGTATAAGTGGAGTTTGTGGGGCATCAACGGGGTGTGTGGTATTAATGTGCTATTAATGGGGGTGTGTGTTCTTAATGGGGTATTTAGGATATTTTTATTAATAGTAAAACTAATCCTTGCCTTTGAAATAGCGCTTTTTACGTCTACTGGACTTCTCAAAGCGCTTCTCAGAATAAACTTTAAATTGAGTTGACTGTATATTTGTTCCGAAAATAGGCAGCCAATTGCGAACAGCGGTATCCCATAGAGAGTCGTGGATTGAAGGGACCAATTTATTGTACGTTTTTTTCTTTCTTGAGTGATTATTATCAGGCGGGTAGAGTAATTAATGGGTTGTTTGGGTTACTAATGTTGTGTGGGGATATTAATGGGGTGTATGGGGTATCAATGTAGTTTGGATTATTAATGGGCTATAGGGATTTAATGGACGGTGGGGTACTAATGGAGTGTGGGGTATGAATATGGTGTGTGGTATTGACAAAGTGAATGGAATTAATGGGTTATGTGGTATTAATTGTGCGTGTGGTATTAACGGTCTATGTAAAAATAATAATAATAACCCTTGAATTTGATATAACGCTTTTCACGTCTTCTAGACGTCCCAAAGCGCTTCACAGAATATGCTGTAAAGAGAATTGACCATATATTTGTGGGCAATAAGCGGCAGCCAATTGTGCGCAGCAGTGTCCCACAAGCAGTCGTGTACTGAAAATGAACAATTTATTGTTGCTTTGTTTTGGAGGGATTATTATGAGGCGTGTGGAGTAAATAAACTTGCTCAACGTTTCACCCTGACGCATGTGGTCCACATCCGTAGATACGAAGAGACATCAAGGAACCGTGTTGTAAGGAGGCACATGGTAACGGTGCCTGTCTTGACTTTACTTCCTGGCTAGGAAATGAAGTGAAGTACAAACATCTTTACTATGCTCCTACCTTATAAATCCAGTTTTCAAATTTATTTATTCAGAATTTATTTATTATTTAGAACTACAGCACCTGCCAAACACAGCACATATGCTTCTGCACCCCAACTTCTAGCCACGCCAAATCAAAATCCAAAATCCAATCGTATTTGTGGTATGAATTGGGCCTGTGGGGCATTAATGGAATTTATGTGGGACAGTTTGCTGTGGGTATTAATGGGGTTTGGGTAACTAAAGGAGTGTGTGGTATTGAGGGGTGTGACGTGCTACTTGGGTGTAGTTTACCAACGGGTTGTAGTGTATTAATGGGCTGTTGGATATCAATCGAGTGTGCTGTAATAAAGGTGTGGGGTTATTTACGGAATGTGGGGTATTAATGGTTCGTGGAGTATTAATGTGGTGCATTTGGTATTAATGGTGTGTGTGTGGTACTAATGGGGCGTGTGACGATGTTTTGGGGTGTGCCATGTCAATGGGGTGTATTTTATTCATTGGTGTGTGGTCGTAATATTGTATGTGCTAATAATATGGTGTGTGCTATTAATGGGGTCTTTGGGATTTGTATGGGTTATGTGGGGTTTTATTGTGGTCTGTGTGGTACTGATGGGATATCTGGGGTATTAGCGTTGTGTGCAGTATCAATAGTGTGTGGGGAATTAATGTTCTTTGTGGAAATAAGGGTATGTGTGTTATTAATGGAGAGTGGGAGTATTAAAGACGTGTGCGATAATAATGGGGTTTCTGTGGCACTAATTCGTTGTGTGGCATATTGTTTATGTGTTGCGGGATACCAGTGAAGAACATGATGTGTTAATGGGTTGTGGTGTAATTCAGGGTTGTGTGATTTATTAATGGGGCGTAGGTTACTAATGGGGTCTGTGGTAATAATGGTTTGTGAGGAATCAATATATTATGGAGTATTTATCTGTTTGATATGAAAGAATTGTGTAGTATCAGTGGTGCACAAGATATTATTGCAGTGTGTGGGGCATTAATGGAGTGTTCGGTATAAATGGACGTGTGGGTTATTAATGGAGTGCATTAGGTGTTGATGGTGTGTGGGGTGTTAATGGTGTGTAGCAGTATTAATGGTGTGTGGGGTAACAGTGAGGTGTGTGCTATTAATGGGAATTGGGTACTAATGTGAAGTGCTTGTATTAATGGGATGTTGGTATTAAAGGGGTGTGTGGGGTTCTAGTGGGCTGCGTGTGGTATTAATGTGGTAATGGAGTATTAATGGGGCATTAATGGGTTGTGAGCTACTAGTATTTTGTGGCTTTAGAGGAGTGTGTGGTGTTAATAACTGTGAGGTATAAATGGGGTTTGTGGTATTAATAGAGTGTGCAGTATTATTGCAGTGTTTTGGGTATGAATGGGTGTGTCGGGTGTTAATGGGCTCTGGGTTATTATTATGGTGGTGTGCAAATTAATTGCGTGTGAGGGTACTAATGGGATGTCGGTTATTAATGGGGTTTGCGAGTAATGATATTTTGGGAAAAGAATGGGGTGTGGTTGTTGATGGGATGTTTCCAGTGCCTTGGGACGTCCTGCCAACGTGAAAAGCGCTATATCAATGCAAAGTGGGTCTTGTTGTTGGTATTACTGGTTTGTGGCTTGTTAATGAGCCATGGGGTATTAATGGGATGCATGATATTAATGTGCATTTTGATTATAATGTGTGTAGTATTGATGGGATATTTGGGATATTAATGGGGAGTATGGGATATTAATGGTGAGCATGATGTATTAATGGGGTGTTGTATTAATGGGGTAAGTTGTATCAATTGCTTGTGTGGTATTAATGAAATGTGTGTGCTAAAGTTTTAACTTGGATTTGCTGATGTATTATTTGGGTGTGCAGTGTACCAATGAGGTGTATGAGGTATTAATGGGATGTGCGGTATTAATGTCGTGAGGGGTATTGATGCCGTGTTATGTGTTAAAGGTGTGTGCGGCATTACAGAGGCGGGGATATTAATGCGGTGTGATGGGTATTAATGCGGTATGTGAGTACTCATGAACTGTGGCTTATCAATGGGGTTTAGCGTATTAGTTGGTTGTGTGGGTTATTAATGGAGTATGCGGGGTACTAGTGTGCTGCAATGTGGTTTATTAATCACACGCACACTCACACACTCTTACACTCTCACACTCACAAACAAACTCACACACTCATCCTCTCTGACAGACTCTCACAGACATTTCCAAACTCTCACACTCACACACACAAATTCACACATATTTTAACGTCCACATTCACACACTCTCTCTCTTTCTGATTCATTCCCACTGACCTGATCCCTATCAGCCCCAGTTGTCTTGCAGCTCGGGGCCACTATCTCTCCGGGCGGTCGTCGGCCATATTTGAGCTTTTCCTCCTTCAAACCTTAACCTGTCCCCGCCCACTCGCTCCCCATTGGTTCATTCCCAACACCCGCCCCGACAGCCAGAGCTTCCCATAGGTCTGCCTAATTGTCCAGCGGATACCGCGCTCTGATAGGTCCATGTCTAAGTCAATCAACACTAATCCTCCACGCCATCCGCTTCCTGGTCAACCGTGACTATGTCACCGCCCATTCGCTCCCCATTGGACCATTCCAACACCCGCCCCGACTGTCAGATCTTCCCATTGGTCTGTCTGTACATTAATCAATACTCGCGCTTTGATGGGTCCAGGTCGACGTCAATCCTCTCCTTCCTGCCCCTCGCTCTCTCCAACCGTCAAACTTTCCCCACCCACACGCTTTCTATTGGCCCATTCAGTCAGCCCCGCCTCCACAACCAGAGCTTATGACTCGTCAGTTCATTTGGCAATCAGACTGCGTTCTCTGATCGTTCCGTCTCCACCAATCACCTCAGCTACTTCCTGCCACGCGCTCTTTCTCCAACCGCCACTCTCTCCCCGCCAACTCCCTGCCTATTGGCTCTTTCAACACTCCAGAGCTTCCGGTTGGTCAGCCCGGCTGTCAATCTGCTGCCCTCTGTGGCCTTCCTGTTTCCCAGCTTTTCCCCCAGCCCTTGTTTTCCTTCTGTCAGTAGGAACCCACATGGTAGTTTATTGGCATCAGTTTTCCGAGGGTAATAGAACCGGCAATTGTTTGTAAAAGTCTTAATAATTCGATCGCTTCCAAGTTACAGGGGTAAATTCACTGACTTCGCCTTACAATGTGTCCAGCACTGAGACGTCTCGAAGACGTGATGAGGCGCTGTATAAAATGCCCATTATTATTATTGTGATTATTATAAATATTATACAACGGCACCGCTAACGACACCACGTACGTGACGTAAGGAGACAGGCAGCCTACATACGCGATGTCGTCCGCACGTCTACCCGCCTCAGTGTGCGTGTGTGTGTGTTTATGTGTTTGACTGTCTGCGCTTCACTGCTCCGCCATATTGAACGGCACAGCTTCCCCGCTGTGTGTGCGTCTCTCTCGGGTCGACTCTCTGTGGTGCCGCTCACGTAACGTACGCACGTCTCTCTTTCTCTGGTTCTCACTCACGTAACGTCACCACTGCTCCTCTCCTTGACAGCGAGTGACACGCCCGCTGTCTCCCTGGTAACTGTTGATTGACAGGAAAGCGAGACACGCTCACTGTCTCCCTGGTTAATGTTGACTGATAGGAAAGTGAGACACGCCCACTCACTCACTGGTAACAGTTGATTGACAGGAAAAAGTCACACGCCTACTCTCTCACTGGTAGCATTTGATTGACAGGAAAGTGAGACACGTCCACAATCTCCCTGTTAAATACTGATTGACAGGAAATAGAGACACGCCCTCTCGCTCACTGGTAACCAGTGATTGACGTGAGACACACCAACTAATACTCTGATTAATATTGCTATTATTTCCCCGGCTCGGAGTTAGTGTCCGCCACTATTACGCACTGATACGGTGCCCAGTCTGGAGACAGGATGCGGTATAAGTTCATATTCTCCTTCCTATTTTTATTGTTATATTATTTCGATTATTAATTTCCATAAACAACAAAAANCAGTTGCGTTTATATAGCGGACTACACATAGCGCGACTTCCCAGTGCTTCGCAATGGATGAATCTGGTATTGTATAGTACATACCACACAATGGACTACATAAAATCATAATAAATATGAACCAAATAATTATATCATCTTCTGAATAATACAGTGTCAAAAAAACACTGAACACCCAGTGAACTCCTGTGTCAATGCGATTTGTTTTTAAAATAATAACAATAGTCCTTGCATTTGATATAGCGCCCTTGAAAATACACAGTCAATTAACTTTTCACAGTCTGACATGTGAAGCACTTTGAGACTTCTATAATAAGGCGCAATATCCGAAGCAAAGATTACTATTATTGCTGAAAAGCAAATTGGAAGCTTAAAGCGCTTTCTGTCAAGAGAAATGTAGATACAACATCCCTTTATAGTTATTCTGCTGTTGCGTTGAGCTGTTTTTCTCGCTTTTACAGTTAAATGTTTGAACCCTTTTCGCATGAGGTGTTTGTGTGGTTTGTGCTTTATATCCGGTAATGCTGTTGAGGTGACACCATGACAGAATTCATCAACATATCACCTATTACCGTTTAATACGATGTACAATATTGAGCTGATCTGGACTCCAATACCAGGACAAAATGCCTTCTTTTTCCCAAATATCATCACAGGAACTTTAAGGTCTATCCGGAACACGGGACAAAGAAGATTTAAGTTGATCACTGCGTCTTAGATCCACAGCAAGAAAGAGAGAGAAATAGAGACTATGAATGTGAGAGAAAATGGGCGTAAGAGAGAAAGATCGTGTGAGAGATACACAGAGAGAGTGAGAGCTTCAGAGACACAAAAGGGGAGCGAGAGCTTTGATCGTGTTATAGAGACAGGCAGAGTGTGAGTGAAGCTGCTAAGCTAACATCATGAAAGTGGTTCAGCTACGCATCAGCTTTTGCCATTTGAAATCATGTTCAATATTAACCCTTTCGTACAACTTAAATTTAGCTGCTCTGGAATACAACAATTGGAGAAATTCCCTTCTCACTTCCTGATAACGTCTCGGCTTCTTAACACATATCTTCAACACAAATAAAGGTCAATTGAACCTCTCATTTTAACGCCTATGATAAGCCGACGACAAGTTTGAGTGAGAGCGAGAACTACTCAGTTTGCGAGAGGCTTACCGTGTGAGAGACGCATAGGGGGAGATTGATAGTGGTAGTGTCAGAGATACAGAGGGAAACGGAGATTGGGAGAGTGACAGAGAGGCACATTGTATTTGACAGAGAAATTGAGAGACACAGGTGGAGAGAGACTGAGAGTGTGAGAGATAAGGTGTGTGTGTGATACAGACATTGAGAGAAACATATGGAGGGAGACTGAGAGTGTCAGAGAAACATACGGAGATAGACGGACTGAGAGTTTGAGCGACACAGTGCTTCAGAGTGTGCGAGAGAATGCGAGAGTCACAGTGTTTGTGTGTGAGAGAGACTGAGAGTGTGAGCAATGCTGCCATCGAATTTCACATGAATTACATTAATTTGCACAACAAACTAATCTTCCGATGTGAAAGCGCGACAAAAATGTCATTTGTTTTATATTTTATTAAACTAGCACATTGAAAGATAGAAACATTAGCTCCAGCTGTGGTCAACCGATGTTTTGCAGGCTGGAGAGCAGCTTCCCTATATGATTGTAATGTTTTTCAAAGCAGACAAGACAGCAGGTCTGAGGAACTCTCAATTAATCGTATAATGTGTATTGTGTTGCTGGCGAGACGAGAAAGAAGGTCAACGGAATCTTCCAGTCGGCAGTGAGTGTTTCAGCTGCTATGAATGTGATGTGTGGATTGGGGAAGGTAATGTGGCACAGTTGGAAAAAAGTGGTCCTGATTATCAGTGAATGTGGGAAAGAAAACAATGTTGCTGTTGACCCGTTTTCCAAATTTTTCTGATCAAAATTGTGCATTTGATGTGCCACCTTTTCATTTTCTGGCATAAATGCACTTTCATTCCGAACAACATCGTGTCTGAAATATGGAATATTTCTCTGAAACGTCTCGATGAAGTCTTGAAGCAAATGCAATGGATACCACTATTATTAAAAAGCAGATTTGAGATTCGAAGTGTGTCTGCTGTCCAAAGACATATAGAAAAAAAATAGCGCTGAAGAAATTCTGTATTTCTGTTTAGTCACTTTGCCTTTTGCATTTGAATGCTTGAGCACTTTTTGGAGGGCGATTTGTGCGGTTTGTGCTTGATATCCGGTACCTCTGCTAAGCCAACACCATGGCAGAGTTTCAGCGACACATCAGCTTTTTCCATTTGACAACATGTCTAATAGTATCCATTTCATTCAGCTTGAATTGAGTTGCTCTGGATATTAAAACGAAGAGGAACTCTCCTATCTTTCCTCTCCGTGTTTGCTCTGTTTAGTTGTATTTTCCATTTGCAATTAAACATTTTGCACTTTTTGCTGGGAGGCGTTTTGTGGTTTGTGCTTTGTGTCCGGTAACGATGCTTAGCCAATACCATGAAAGCGTTTCAGCTGCACAACAGCCTTTGCCATTTGACACTATGTCCAATATTAACGCTTTCATACTGATTAAATTGAACTGGTCTGGAATATAACACCTGGAGAAACTCCCGTCTCATTTCCCATTGGCGTTTCGGTATCTTTAATATTTGTCTTCGAGACAGCACAAACTGAACCTTTATTTATCGTCTCATCTTAGAGCCAAAAATAGACAGTCGGAGAGAGAGTAAGATTCTGAGACACACAATTTGAAAGACTGACTGACTTTGTGTAAGACACATAGGGAGAGAGAGATAGTGTGAGAGATACAGAGAGTGAGCGAGATTGGGAGGTATAGAAAGACATTATGAGAGATACAGCGTGTGTGTGTGTCAGTGAATTTGAACGAAACAGGTGGAAGTAGATGGAGAATGTGGACATAGAGGGACTGAGCTGCACAGTGCTTCAGAGTGTGAGAGAGTGCGTGAGATACACGGACGTGTGAGAGAGAGAGAGAGTGTGAGTCACATTGTGTGTGCTTCAGAGACTGATGAGAGACGCAGCTAGATAGAGAATGGGAGTGTGAGAGACACAATGTCTTTGTGATAGATATTTAGAGAGTAACAGATGTAGGGAGACTCAGGGTTTCAGAGACACAGATGGAGATAGAGAGAATGAGGCAGAGCGTGTGCTTAGGAAGCAACAGTGGAGGGAGACTCGGAGTTTCAGAGACACGGATGGAGATAGAGAGACTGAGACTGAGAGTGTGATGTACACAGTGTGAGATTGTGTGAGAGAGTGTGTGAGAAATAATGTTTGTGAGTGCTACTGAGATCGTGAGCAATGTTACCATCAAACTTCACATGAATTACATTAATTTTCACAAACACCAGTAATTCTGAAGTGAAGGT